GGGCGTACGTCACACCACGCCAGGGGTGTCACGTACAACGAATCGATTTTGTGTGCACTTTCCACTTTGTATTCTGGGCTCGAAATTAATAATTAAACTGTTGTACAAAGGAGTTTGTTGTTCATTAGGGTTGACACGTGGATTTAGGTGAATGGGATACTGGCTTTTTGTAATGTTGGGTTTTAAAGAGTTGATGTTGTGAGTCAAGTTTTTAAATAAAGAACGTTTTTTTCGTTTATTAAGATTTAAGGAGGTCTAATGTTTAAAAAAGTAAGCGTGCCATCCTACACAGGGCTCAATTCTAGTCTGCGTCCAAATAATAATATTTTTATAACCTTAAATTGTTAACAGAACTGTTCCTTATCCAGAACCACAACACTATTATATATAAACAAATATCATATCATTAGCAATAATACTGAAAACAAACCGAGGTATCATAATATAATCTAATTTTCAGCTCAACACATAGCAGTTTCACATTTAACAGTTACATGCACCGGTATTGCTAGCAACACAGCGGCATTTAAATTTTATCGGCTTGCAACCCTGGCGGTTATTGCAATTCCCGACGGTATAGCCCATTCTTCCGTCGGATTTCAACGGAGACGGACGCCTTTCACTCTCTCGCTTTTTAAATGACGACCTCCTTTTTTATTGTGCTCGTTTTTAAGTTCTAGTTTACGCTGTATACATTTGCATTTTTATTTTTATATACTGACACGTCGGCAGTCGTTACGCTCGTCTCTTTTAGGAGTGGGCAGAGATAATAAAACTGCTAAATTACTAGACTTATACTCTAAATTCTTCAAACTCTAATATTCGAGATGCAGTTGTATATGAGTTTGCAATTGATGAATGATGGAAAGCCTTTGTTCAGACTTATTATAAATGATTATATAATGAATGTACACAATCGGCGCGATAATTGAGCAACCAGTTTGAGAGCGACGTGTCGCCGGTTCGTTTCCTATGCAACGCACCCACGAGAGAAGAGAAAATAGGTGCGGCAAGTTTTAATAAACTTACAAAATAAAGTCATGGTATAATAATATTATTATGATGATAAATCAAGTTATTAATATTTAAAATATTTATGTAATTTAAGGTGAAAAACTCGGTACTATTCAATTTTCCATTCAGGGTCGGATCGAGAGCCATTCATGAATCGTTTAAAACAATTTTCGCGTTCGTACAAACTGAGAGAACCATTCTGAAATCTATGTATGAAATTTTATACTTTCGAGAGACCATTTTACAAACAAGATTTTTACGATATTTTTATAGCATTCATGTATGGGTCGCCATTTGAACATCTGTGCTATGTGTACTATTAAAAACTAAGAATAGAAATAAAACTACCTGTCTACAGAAAAGACAACGAGACAAATTGTTTGGTAGATGCACTCGCAACCATTCGACAAAATGTGACTTTTACACACACGCTAATACAAGAAAATAAAAACGAAAATTTAGTACTATTTTCGAAAAATACAATTCCACTTTATTTTTCTACGACAAAGAATTTTCAACAAATTTTCGACGAGATCTCGCGACCATAAAGATGAATACATTAAGATCTGTGTGTGAAAACAGTAAATTTTACAATTTCAGCGCTTTCGTTTGCATGAAAATTTACAGCCATACGTTTGTCGACATATTCTTTATATATAATATTCTTCGTGCATTTCGTGAAACGAATTGTTATTTTTGCAGTACTTCTGAATACATACAATGAAGTAGAAATCATTGTAATATGACATGAACAGAATCCTATGACCATACATATTATTATATAAATTTCCCTTTTAAAAAAAATTACTCAGAAACATATCACAATTTTCCAAAGTACATGGTGGACCATTCGGTGAAGGTATGCTCCATCAGGGCACATAGGTGTGGCCTACATGGGCTGACCACCACCGAGTTCCCAGGAAAGCCGGTGCGGCGCAGTAGGTAAGAATCGGACACTCCCAGTCGAACCAAGCGAAAGAAGTCTTTTTTTTTATTGTATAAGTCGGCAAACGAGCAGACGGATTACCTGATGGTAAGCAATCGGCGCCGCCCATAGACACCCGCAACACCAAAGGAGTTACGAGTGCGTTGCCGACCTTTTGGGGATAGGGGTTGGGGATATAAGGATCGGGAAGGGATAGGGGAGTGGGAGGGATTGGGCCTCCGGTAACCTCACTCACACGGCGAAACACAACGCTGTGGGTTGTTTCACGCCCGTATTCTGTGAGGCCGTGGTATCACTCCGGTCGAGCCGACCCATTCGTGCCGAAGCTTAGCTCTCCCACACTTCTTTCGGGGATTTTCCGATGTCGAAAAAGTATTTTAGGAATTATACTTCTAAAAATAATCAGCAAAACGAAAATGATATCCGATAGCTAACTCCATGCATCTTTACCGACTGTCTTTACAAAAATCGGCATGTCACGTATATAGCCGGGTGTTTTACGTAAATAACGAAATTAATTGAAAATGTTTGTTCAAAAACTAATTCATTTCGATAATGTCTCTGTCAATAGCAACCGTTTTAAAGTTTAGAGTTGGGTTGAGCCGTATACATAGTCTTAAACTCAAAGTCTGAACATCGGCATCGACGAGTTTGGACACTTTCTGAGCAGTTGGATTACTGAGCTTTTTAAGACTAGGTCATTTTATAAGCGTTAGCGTTAGCGGACGCGATTTACAACTGACAATTTCGGTCAAAACATATCACACAAATCTGAAATCAAATATTTTTTATAGCGTAGTATTTTTTTTTATGTAATAGTTCGACAAACGAGCATACGGATTACCTGATGGTAAGCAATCAGCGCCGCCCATGGACACTCGCAACGGAGGAGTTACGAGTGCGTTGCCGACCTTTTAGGGATTAGGGATTTGGTGCTTTAGGGATTGAGGAGGGATTGGGGGAGGGAAAGGATTGGGCCTCCGGTAACCTCACTCACACAGCGAAACACAACGCTGTGGTTGTTTCACGCCGGTATTCTGTGAGACCGTGGTATCACTCCGGTCGAGCCGACCCATTCGTGCCGAAGCATGGCTCTCCGACACTTATGACGATTAGGCAAGTTATATGATGGTAAGCAAACGTCGCTAATAGATCGGTAACACTGAAGAAATTAAGTTCGTTACCGGCCGTTTTGTTGTCAGCGATATGCGGATTGGAGATAGGGTACTACAGAAGAATTGTGTTGTTATAGAAAAAAAATCCTGAGGTTTTATATTAAGGCCTGTTATTAATTTTGGCAGTAAGGAAGAAAGTCCTCAGTTAGGATTGAAGATGAAAATATGCAAAATGTATGACAATAAACTCAATCCCGATTTACACTTAATGTTGGAATCGCTTCCGCTTACAACATGAACGCAGCCTTAGTATTGTTAAATGGAAGAAACTTTGATTGGGCAATGCTCAGGATTCATTGTTGAACGTTTGACGTATAAAATAGCAATCCTATCTTTTATAAGTTCTAGGACAAAAATAATTAATACTATACGAGGACGCTCGACTGATTTCAAGTCACAACGAGACTCATAATTATGAGCAGCATGACACTTAAAGAGAAGTGAGTTCGGTAAAAAAAATAATGTAAGATTAAATTAATTGGTTTCAAAAATAGAACTGTGGTGTTCTATTTTTTCTCTTATTTATATTTATTTTTCTTTCTTTAGAGTATAAAATTAAAATTAATCTTAATTCTACCTGTATGATCGGGATGAACTCGGGAACTCCTAAACGAATTGTTATGTGGTTTTCGTCAGTGGATAGTTTTTATAAAGGTAAAAGACCTTTTATAATTCATGTTAATAAAAAAAATATTCCAGTTGTATTCCCAGCTTCAACAGTTCATTTTGAAAATGGAAGTTAATTTTAAAGCTGTCACCTTTCAAAAAGACTCGTTCGTTGTGCGGAACATTCTGGAAACTGTGACAATCTAGTCCCGAAGTTTAGACGATTTCAAAACTTTTCATAGCCCGGTTCAGTTCAACTGAATTTCTGGTAAATAGTTGGGGAAAATTTTTGGTGCATACGATTTTCGGTGCACATTTGGAGCGAAGATATGAATATAAAGTTTATATTTGTTTGGATCATTCTAATCGCTGCATTTGTAACATGTTATGTTTAGGTCTTTGTTGAACTTAAGCCTAAAAATCCTAAAAATCGGAATGTAACATTCCGATTTTTAGGATTATGTAGGTTAGGACTAGGAAGAAAAAAAATATTTAGACTTTTCTTCTAATTAAGAAGATTTTGGGGATAAAATTTTTTGATTATTTTTATGGAATTTTAGTACTTAATGTCTAAGTATATAAATGGGCTAAATCCCATGATAGGTCTAAATCAATAACATAGACACATCTGCATCAGATAAAAGCATCTATCACTACCAACAGAAACTGTGTTCAAATCCACAATAACTTACAAGACAGACAAACAGACACAGACAGATACATTAAAATTTTACATGGCTCTGTTCACACGAACATTATCGAGGATTATTTCGACAGTTTGCCGGTTGAAAAGCTCTTGATTAACGCTACGGTTGAGTTGGAAACTAGTTGGGCAGTGCTGGAAGTTGTTCGTATATGTGTGTAGATTATGACTCAAGTTTGTGTTGTATTTGCGAATAAATATGATGATGATGCTGATGTATGTAATAAAGAAGTTACTGTAGATATGGATAATTTAACAAATGTTGATAAAGTAGAGGATAATATTGCAAATAGACTAAAAACCTGGACAAAGAAACAACTCACCTTTACCACCCAAAAAATACACACAACAATCCCAAATTGCCCAAAAATTTAGGCTAAATAGAAGACATGTCCACATTGTGAATCTCCAAAAGTAACACTGAGAGATGAAAGTAGAACCATAAGACGCTTTATGAGCAGACAGATCACCTGATGGTAAGCGATCAGAACCGCACGTGGACACTTCTAACACCAAAGAAATTACAATTTGTATGCTCTTAAAAATGAGTACTTACTGTAAGGTTGTGGTCTGCCACCGGTATATTGTGGAGATTGTAGCAAGGGAGCACTTCTCTGTACTGGCGGCACATCCTCAGATACTGTGGACAATTGAGAAAATAAGATAAATATAAATGTTACCATTACGACGGGTTCTGTAAGGACTGCAGAGAACACCAATCTTGCTCAAATTCATTTTAAACAGAGAGATCTTTCTTGTTTTGCTGCATCTGAAAGCTAACCAAACTACCCAATCCCAAATAAAAATAAAATACTTTGTAAAATAATAAATAAAAAATGACATACTGATTATCTGTAGTGCATCTTGCGATTACTGCAGTGAGGTGCTTCTCAAAGTTGTTCTTGAGTAAATAAAATAAAATTTTACCTTTGAGGTCCAAATTAGGGACAGCTACGTTTACTTTGTCTTGAAATAAAATAATAAACTTCGTTTAAAAGGTGGGTCACGCTTTGTATTCAATATTAGAAAAGAATCAAGAATCAATATAGTCATTAAGATTCGACATAAAACCGAAAATACACATTAGTACACAAGAAAGATGACGATATTGTATAAATGGACATAGAAAAAATCACAAGGGCAGATATACCACATACACAAAACACAATTAACAAAGATACCAAGAAAGAAAACGTTGAACAAAAAGCCAAACCACATGCTAACAAAATCAGAGAAGGTCATACAAGGACAAAACTCACACTTAACTTTATACGTGACCTCGATATCGACTGTAACGCTAGAAGTAAACTTCCAGACGAGCTGGTCAACTTTCCATATAGCGGGTACATTATTTGTCTTGAAATAAATGTATGACAACGATTGGGATGGGAACCCAAACCGACGTCGCTCCATTAGGCAAGTAGCTAGTACAGTGGCAAGTAATAACTAATTCAATCTACTAGCAATCAATACTCTCTATGTTTGGTCGCGACCGTCAATGGTATGGAAGATTTTGAAGAAGGTGAATTTTTGAGGTATAGTTGCAGGAGAGTTTTTTATGTCCATTCTGCAAATGAGTAGACGGACTACCTTATAGCAAGCAATCAGCTCTGCTCATGGAAACTCGAAACAATTCAGGAGTTACGAGTGCATTGCCAGCCTTTTGAGGATTAAGGTTTCAGATATCTAAGTGTGGGAGAGCCATGCTTCGGCACGAATGGGTCGACCGGAGTGATACCACGGCCTCACAGAAAACCGGGGTGAAATAACCACAGCGTTGTGTTTCGCCGTGTGAGTGAGGTTACCGGAGGCCCAATCCTTCCCCTCCCCCAATCCCTCCTAAATCCCTAATCCCTAAAAGGTCGGCAACGCACTCGTAACTCCTCCGTTGCGAATGTCCATGGGCGGCGCTGATTGCTTACCATCAGGTAATCCGTTTGCTCGTTTGCCGACTTATTAAATAATAATAAAAAAAAAATTTGGAATTTGGACCCAAGAAGGATTGGGCCTCCGGTAACCTCACGCACATGGCGAAACACAACGCCGTTTTCTGTGACGAGTCTTAATTAAAATGAAGTAAAGTAATTTATTCCAACTTAACCACGTGCTTTAACTTCTACTGATGCCCGAGGAAAAAACGGCTTACCAGACATCAGTGCTTTTTGTTAAACCTGTACCTTTTAAAGAGCGATTTCTATTTCTCATTTTAATGACCCATTAGCCAGCGAAGAATTGTCATTGTCTGTTGATATGGTCACTGCGTTATCATCATCAGCCTATAAGTGCCCACTTTTGACCAAAGGCCTCTGACACAAATTGCAGTCTTGAGTGTTCATCACCACGCTTGCTCAAGTTCGATTCAAAACTTACGGTTTCCTAAATATGTATTCCTTTACAATGGTGTCTAAATAAATTCAAAAAGTGCATATAACTCCTACAAGTCATGTTTCGAGCCCACCGCCCTCATGCATAAGAAGCTTGACCTTTGGGGCCACCATGACATGATTGCTGTATGTGTATTAGTAATTGCTTAAATTCCTGTATTGCCTGCCCTGTGGCATTGATGCGCAGTGTCGTATGCATTTTATCATGCATATTGTAGTACTGTGTCGTTTAATGCAGTCTTATTGATTACTAAATTACAAGTTGACTTTTAGAGGTTTAACAGATAGTCTGGAAGCTGTTCCTTTTTAAGAAAACCATAATAGCTGATTGGAATAGTGTCTGTAAACTATGCAAGCTCAAGTGACGTCAATGCATCGCTAAGTAGTTTTTTCGCTCAAAGTTCTGAATTTGAATCGATAGTGGGAACTGGTTATTATAATCGACCCAACCTTGCCTCTTGTATAAAATATGTTTACTTCACTTAAAATTAAAATCATCCTCATAAAGTCGTACCGCTGCACAAAGACGACTTCTTTCCTGCATAATTTTCACTTTTATAATGGCTCATTGCTGAACAAAGACCTCATCTGAGACGGAAAATGTTGGACCCTTAATCATCATCGCCTAAAGCTGATTAAATATTAGTCTCTGACTTCAATCTCTTCTTCTCGTAGAAAGCTGCCTGCTAGATAGCTGCTGCCTGTATAAAGACCGTCGAGTCAGGTACCAATTGGTCATTTGATCGATAAGTTCCGTGTCGTGGAAAGCTTTTTATCATCAAAGTTTATAGAAACAGCATTTTTGCAAATACATCTTCCTTCTATTCAGGATAGCCAGGAAAACGTCCAGAAGATAGATATCTTCGTTAACCATAATAACGTGCTTGTTTTGTATTATACTAATAAATTAGTATTTACACATTGCAATTATCGAGCATGCAACGCAAAATGAACTTAAATCTAAATAAAAATAAAGTCTACATCTAAGACTCACCGTGGTAATGGGACGTGTCCGAAGTGGCCCACCGTCATCCCACACCATTGACTTCCCTGCACATATAAAGACGAACACACTCTTTATTTCTTTCTCAAAAAAAAACTCAACAAAACGTTATCTATGGTCACCACGCGTAGCGTTAACGGTGCATGCCAATTTTATTACAGAAAAAAGCTACAAAAAAAAACATAAAAAATAAAAGATTCTTTTTTCGAAAGTTTGAAAAAATCGCTTTGTATATCGTGATTGAGACAATTAATGTGTCTGTGTTTTTTGATATACTGTCTGTTTGTTCCGTGATCAAAACGATATACAAAATGTAAAATTTTAATAAATCAATATTTTCTCAGAGTGTGTTTGTCATTAGTCTTATATGTGCATGAAAGATCATTAATATTATACATTAATAATAAGTTGAAGTAGTCAGGCGAGAATGCAAGCTGACCGCTAGTTGCCGGCGACTTAGTCGCGCTATTAACCGTCCGACGTAATCGCTCGACTGCGACCCGTACGTCAGACGTCGTCCCTTATGTTACATTTCAAAGTTTAATAGCAGATTAGTACCATAATGTATCTAAATGAACAGTCTGAAAGCTGAAAGAATTAGCTGAAAAGATTAAAAGTGTAATGATAGCTAAATCTGCAATTAAACTTTAGAAATGATAAGAAAAAATCGCGGTTAAAAAGCATGCTGATTTTGCCAATACAGTCTTTTGTCCGCGACAATATAGCGGTCAACTTTTTGGTTTTTTTTTTTTGAAGTGTTCGTACATATGTATGTTAGCAGTAATAAGGGTATAGTGGATGCTTATGATATAATTGTAGTGCCTATGTAACATAAGATAACAATTTTGAAAAAGCCATTACAGATTCTGAAATAATTTCACAGAAAAAAAATCGTCACTGGCCGTTAAAAAGCAAAAAAAAATATCCGTCATGTGGTTCAGTTAGTTTAAAATTTACTATAGCACATATTAAAATCAGCCTTAAGGTCTTAGCAGACGACCAATTTTTATTAAAACACAATTTCATTTTTTAGAAATAATTTTTTGGTAACATATAAACAAACGTCTAGGCAGGTCGAAGTGTTAATTTATTATGGCCATTTGAGCAACAATTAGGGATAATTTTGTAATAAAAGGTTAGCTAAGACTTTAGGAAATAACTGCAATAATAAAGAATATCGAATTTATTTTTATTAGTATTATAATGCCAGCATTTCCCATCCGACTGATGCTGCCAAGAAATGAACTCAGAGATCTCATAAAATGTAGCAACACCTCTTTTCAAATTCATTTTAAAAGTTATTTTGAGAACCCTGCCCTCCTCCAAGTGAACTCTTTCAACATTGAAACTGTTTTTTAGACATGTATACGCCAATCAAAATTGTGATTTTTGGAAAAAAAATGTTACAATTAAAATATGTTCACGCTAGTAGTTACAGCATTTTGAAATTATATATGTTAATGTAAGCGATTGGTACGTACCTAGGTATGCCGCTGAAGAATTTCCTGTAGATTTTCGAGAAAAAGTGTCCTGTGTTCTTTGAAATTTTACCAGAAATATATAAGTATCTTTTAATTCGTAATGAGCAGGCATTTGGCTGCTATCACGCCTGATGGTAAGCAATGATGCGAGCTTCGATGGAGCACGCCTACTCATAAGCAAATGATAATAATGAAGAAATCTTAAAAACTTAATGTTTACTGCACACAGGCACAGGCAATGACAAACCAGTTTCCAATTTTTTTTCAAAGTGTCTTAACTATAGGTGTTTTTGTTTTTTTCTGGTAAAATTTCACGACTCTTGTGTAGTGGTTCTGTAGTCTTGAAATGTTTACGTAGGAAAACAAAAAAAAAACACGTAATCTAAAACTAGCATGCACAAAAAAACAAAAAAAAACGGGTAGCTACAAAAGCATTACAAAAAAACAGATGTATCTCAAAACCTTACTAATCTTACTAATAAATATATACTTATCTAATAATAACTATAAACGCGAAGTTTGTAAGTATAGATGGATGAATAGATGATTGTCACTTCTTCACATAAAAGCGACTTAGGGCTGATTTTCAATAGTCAGATAAATGTTTTAAGAGGAATAAATTTGTTGCTGTCACTGTCTTATACAAACATTCTGACGCGACAACAATATAATTATTCCCTAGCTAACTTTTACCTAAGCATTGAAAAATCAGCACTTAATGGGTTTTAATGAAAATTGCCTTAAAGAGAGGTTAGGTTACACTAGAATAACA